CTGCTCCTGCTTTCTCTCTCTCTCAAATAAATAAATAAAATCTTAAAAAAAATAAAATAAAATAAATAAAAAAAAATTCTTGGGAAACAAATATCAAAAAACCAAACCAACAAAAATATGGCAAATACTTTAAGAAGTCACTATGAACTCTGATGTCCTACGACAAGGAAATACTTGTGCTTAACTATTATGAAAATCATTTAATAACATGAAAAATATTTAGAATCCACCAAGAAGGAAAAATTTTAAAAGCTGAGAACACGAAAATTATTTCTATGTATAAGATGTATTTCTATGTATAAGATGAAATCCACTAATGTGCTAAGTTGTGGATTACAGGGAATTTTTTTCTTTGAAACTGAAAATTTATAGAGACACCAAAAAATGCTTATTTCCACTTTTGAAATGCCAAGTAGTTGATGCATTTAGAAATAAGAAGAAAGGCAAAGTGGTGCTCTCTAGTAGCTATTATTATAATGGAAGTCTCCATTGTGAAGCAGAATTTTGAGCCTAAGGACCTTATGGGTAATTATACATTTGTGCCTTAGAATCATTCTCCCTAAATGCAAAGAAAGTGCAACTCCTGGGTTTCTATCATCTTCTGCCCACTAGTACTTATTACCAGCTGAAAGTAAAGGAGAAATCACAATTTTGAAGTTGGAAGCGTCCTTTAAAATTATCCGAATACTTGGTAAAAAAAAAAACCCCAAACAGTATCATATCAGGAACAGCTGGGGGATGGGAACTTAGTTACACCTGGAGAAACTTAAATCAAGACAGGAAACAAGATCGCCCATTCTCATGTTTGAACGACTCATGAAGCGGCATTAGCCTGGTTCTGAAGGCTTAGTGGGCTAAGGGGAAAAGGAGGGGGGTTAAGCCAAAACCAGTAAACACAATATTCAAGGAGTTAGGTTTGAGTCAGTAAGAGAGAACTTGCTATTATTTGGGTTGCCTAAAGATAATACAGGAAAGATAATACAGGTTGCATTATTGGATGAGTCACTTGTTACTAAAGACACTGTTCTAAAAACCACTTGGGAGGCTTTGGACAGTAGTGCTTAACAAACTTAAATGTCCATTGGCATCACCCGAGCATCTTGTTCAACTGTAGATTCTGATTCAGTAGGTCTGGGGTGGGGCCTGAGAATCTGCATTTCTAGCAAGCTGCCTGGTAATGCCAAGGCTGTGAGTCAAGAGTGCCAAGGATGTAACACGACTATAAGCCTTAGAATGTGATTTAAACCAGTATTTCCCCAAAGTGCATAGTCTTCCAACCATATGACTTCAAAAGTTCTCTCCCACCTGGATTTGGGGGCAGATGACTAATAAATTGGGTAAGTGGTAATTAGCAGGATTTTGTGAGTCCACACATTCAAAATTCAAAGAAAGTTTGTATCCTGGTATCTTGCAGTACCTGCCCCCACCATACTTTTGAACAATAATTTATTTTGCACAATTCTAAAGAAGAGATGTTTCACTTCCATTAAAAAAATGATGCTCATACTCCAAGCTTGGCAAATATTTAAAAACAAGTAACTACATTGTAAATATGCACTCAGCATTAAAAAATGCAGTTACTTATGATTTCACTATACAACAGTTAACAGAGATGTAGAATGAAAGAAAATATGGCTATAATTTTTTCCCAGTGATCTGTGGCATAAAATCGTGTGTCTCCAGAGGTGGGGAGGGGGTAAGTCTCCCAAGGCTACAATTTGTGGTCTTCTTTTTCAATGGAGGGCTTTGCATTATTTACCTAGCCCTGAAATTTCACCTCCCTACCATCCATCAGAGTCATAAAAATTCCTTCAATGTTTTAAAAGTCCCTGTTTCTGGCTCTGCTCCCCTATCTAAAAAACCTGGACTTTAATCAGTTCAAAATCCTATGTGATGTCTTTCCTGGAGATATGTGCCAATACCTGAACACTTATCTTCACACTTTAAGGTATATCTTCCTTAAATTTAAAAGCCTTCTTATGTTTCTCTCCCAGAGTAAATAAGCCAACAACTAAGAGGGAACCAGTTTCCTGCCTTTCTTCTGACTCTGAAAGTCAGAGTTGGCTGTTTCAGTTTGCTTAGAAGTTGTAAGTAGCATTCCATCCGATTGACAAAAGCCCTTTTTCTTCAAACTGCTTATTTACTTGTCAGTTAATTCTGAATGAACCTAGCTTATTCTGCTCCTTGGGAAGTATCACCTGTTAATTCCTCTTTTGCTATTTTTAAAAGAAAAATGTGAGTTAACGTGAGGGTAAGCCATCAGATGAACCTACATAAAATCTTAAGGTTAAAGTATTGGAAATTTTTCTGCTTTCCACAGCACATGAAAATATGTGGTGATACTTTTATTACTATCCATCAGATGATTCTCTAGAGCCAAATTACAAATATGATGCAAATCTTAATTTGGGGTACTTTATAATATTATTACAAGTAAACCAATACATGTGATAAGTATTTTTTTATGAAAGCATATAATCCTAGATTTGCTTTCTAATACTAGTAGGTTAATCCTTTTGGCAAAGTGATTCAAATTTATTTCCTGATAAAATTAATTGTGAAAGTTTCCACCATCTACAATAACTGTTGATTTAATCAGTAAATAATTTCTCACTGCCAACTCTATACCAGACATTGTTCTAGGCACTAAAGATCGTGAAGGAAAAAAAACAGATTACCAAACAGGAGAGAGGCAGATATTAGCAAGCAGTTCATAAGTAATTATTTATTTATTTTTAATTATTTTTTTATTATTATGTTCAGTTAGCCACTGTGTAGTACATAATTAGTCCTTGATGCAGTGTTCAACGATTCATCAGTTAAGTATAACACCCAGTGCTCATCACAGCACGTGCCCTCCTCAATACCCATCACCCTGTTACCCCCTCCCCCCACCCCACAGGTAATTATTTAAATTACAACTGAGGTATGGCTAGATACTGACCCAGGTCCGGAAGGAGAGAGAGCTTCTCTGAAGAATCTCGGGAGAATTCTCAGAGAACTCCACTGAAGTGTTAACCAGATGAGAGAGGGTGAAAATGAGAGACATTCTGGGCAGAGGAAAGAGCATTTGCAAAGATTCTGAGGTGAGAATGGAAACTATACACAGAAGAACTGAGGCTGCTGATAGGAGTAAAGCTGAAAACAGTAATAGCTCATCTCGGCAGCATGCCTACTGTACGCATGAACTCACAGTCCTCCCCAGCACTGGACCCAGGCAGTGTTACTCGAATTCTACAGCTAAGGACACAAAAAAGCTTAGAGAGGTCAACTTGTCCAAGGTCGCAAAGCTGGAAGGTGGCAAGCCAGGGTTTGGTCTAGGCAGTCTGCTGCCCGGGTCCTTATTCTGGACTGTAAGCCACAAGAACTTCCCAGGAGCAGGTGAACGTGGAGCTTTCCTCACGTTCAAGATTCATTCCGTCAACTTTCATTTTCCACAGAATGGCATCATGAAATAGAGATGTATTAGAATAGCTTCAGTCTCATTCCCAGAGTCTTGATAAATATACAGTTCCTGGTTGGAACCTATTTAGTTAGGAAATATTAAACGGAATTTTTTTTTTTTTAAGATTTTATTTATTTATTTGACAGAGAGAGAGATAGCGAGAGCAGGAACACAAGCAGGGGGAGTGGGAGAGGGAGAAGCAGGCTTCCAGCGGAGCCAGGAGCCCGATGCGGGACTCGATCCCAGGGCCCTGGGATCATGACCTGAGCCGAAGGCAGACGCTTAACAACTGAGCCACCCAGGTGCCCCCAGAATTTTTTTATTACAAAAATATTCATAGAAGTCCATATGTTAATATAACAAATGCCTGTGAGCCCATTAACCAAGATAACCATATCTTCTCAGGGATTTTTTTTTTAAATACACATTTATGTTCCCCTCCCTATCCCTATTCCTCTTCTCCCAGGGTCAACCACTATCATGAATTTGATAGAGAGCCAGTCCACTTTTTATTCACAGGCATACGTATGCATGCACACACATTCATAAACATTATATGGTATATGATATCATTCTAAGTAATGTTTAACATTTACATAACAAATACATAATATTCTGAAATTTGTGTTTTTCACTCTACACTTTAGGTTTTGAGTTCCATCCATATTGCTTCGATGCAGAAAGGTCTGGCTCATTCTTTTCAAGTTCTGTAGAATAGTCTATTGACCAAATATATCACAAAGTTACCCATTCCCTACTAGCAGACATTTAGGTTGCTTTCAGAGGATTGCTTATCTAAATGCCATTTTGGAGCCAAATCTCTTTTTTTTTTTTTTCCAGATAAAGTACTTTACTGAGACAGTGAATCTTACACATTGCTAGAAATACTTTAAAATTGAAATTTCTGGGGCGCCTGGGTGGCTCAGTTGGTTAAGCGTCTACCCTCGGCTCAGGTCATGATGGCAGGGTCCTGGGATGGAGCCCTGCATTGGGCTTCCTGCTCAGCAGGGAGCCTGCTTCTCTCTCTCTCTCTCTCTGCCCCGCCCCACTGCTCATTCTCTCTCTCTCTCAAATAAATAAATAAAACCTTAAAAAAATACAATAACATTGAAATTTCCATTTTAAATAGGGTTTTTCTCTAAAGAAATAAATCTTTGATAATTCAAATCATAGAGAAATACCTAGATAATTAAAATACTATGACTCTTTGAAAAGGGGAAGTTAACAGTATTTTAAATGAGAAAGTAAATTTCTAGTTAAGTTGAATCTATACTAATCCTGTTGAAAACAAAACATACTGAAGAGAAAGTAGGTGCAGAAAATAGTCTGTATCTTACAACCACTTTCTCTTTCTGGGCACACCATACTCCACACTTGGCAGAAAAATCAGAGCATTTGAGCAAGCAGATAAACAAAACAAACATTTCTCTGGAATGCTTTGTTCTGTGCTTTGGTCAGAAGATAATCCAAGACACAACCACACAGAAAGATAACCAAATTTTTCTTTAGAATGGCAAGTGCCTACTATGTGGCAGAGTCAATGTTTGATAGAGCAATTAAAAAAAGCAATAAAATTATCTTAAAGTTGTTAGACCTATATAAACAGTGTGACTAAGAACAATCATCAATTTACATTAACGGAACTTTTTAACTCAAGGACACTGTAGCAAGTTTTATTAAAACGTGTAAACTGAAATCAACTCTACAAATCCGTGAAGACCCATCTATGGGATTCCTATACTTTTAACACTGTTTTCTATAAAGAAGATTTCTGGGAAAGCCTCAAAAGGCAGATGTTTTAAAATATGGATAACTGTTTACTAATGGCTGCATTCTTCACACTATAACATAACTTTGTCCAGAAAATGCAAAAGGGAATATGAAGAAGGGCATTTGTCTTCAGAAGGAAAGGGAAGTAAAGTCTCCTAGCAGATTTCCAAAGAAGTGTACACCATCCCCACATAGGTAAATAGAAAAAGAAATCTGGGTTTCCAATGAAAGAAGTAACTCTATCACTTTGGGGGTCCCAATGGAGTCAGACTGTGTGGCCCCATTTTCACACAACAAGCCAAATGTTTTAGCATGTTCCCTAGGCAAGCCAAGGAGATATCACTTCTAGATCCCTGGACACCAGCCCAAGAAATCCTCCTGAGCTTAGGAAAACCCTTCCAGGCTTCCGGGGTAGCCCTGAACCCAACTGAAATTTATCCTACCAGCAGTTCAATAACATAACCGGCCAAGAGGGAGCAGCTTCATCATCCACTCATCCATCTGTCCACCCATCAGATATTTATTACCCAGATATCCCATGGCACGAGCTCTCAGAGTGTAAGGGGTATCTGAGCCAAGAAAGCAAGTCCATACATTGACACATTTAAACACAGACAAACATACCAAACAACCTTCTGCCTCATTCTAACCTCTTACCTACAAAGTGCACATTTTATTAGTTTTCAATGCATAATGTGTGTATTGTACAGAATACACGATTAGCTCCAAACTTATGCCTTTTTTTTTTTTTTGTATTCCACCTCAAAGTGCAAAACAGAAATAGAAACAAATAGTATAAACAGTACGGACAAGAAGTTGAGACTCAGCGTGAGAATAAGGCACCACAAATAGACCAGGAACCAAAAGTAGGATCACTTCGACTTTTGAAACTTACCCCCACCACGTCTGGTGACTTTTTTAAATGTCCTGAAGACTCCCCAGAGCTGGCAGCAGTGAGTAATGACTTCTGGACAGAACGGAAGGCGTATATGCTACAGACATATGAGGCTAAGGGGAAGAGTCTGTGCTAGGAGCATTCATGTCAAAAGCCACCAGCGACTCCCTGGGTCCCAAAGCAAGGGCACAAAAGAGGAGCACAGGAAGTGGCCCAAGTCCGTGGAGTCACCCTGGGGACCTCCCAACAGTACGGTCCTTGTGGTTGCCTAACACCAGAAACTCAGCCTGGAACAAAAAATAGATAAGTTGTAAGGCAAGCTAAAACTAATCCTTTGCTAAAGAAAGTACTCTGTCATCCAATATGCTCTGCATACTTCCTTACTACTTACCAAAGCCTAACTGTTGGACAGCTTTTTGATCTGAGACCTTTTTTATTTTCTCAAATGAGAACTGGTCTTTGATATACCTAAGGTCAGCAAAATGAAACCTTTATTTATAGCATGCCATACTGTTTGAAAATAGAGATTTCACTTAAAGAATAAAGTCTGGGTTTTTTTCTTCCTATCAAAGATGATCTGGACCAGAAGAATTGGGGAAAACTGGATGGAGGATGTGGCCCCAGTCTGGGTGCGGTAGGATGGGTAAGAACAACTCAGCAAAGACCCAATAGGCAATGATGGGAAGGCACAGAGGGCTGATGTGCAGGGCTTTGGTCTGGGGTATGTCAGGAAACCAAATTGACTCTGTTTGAAAGCACTAGTGAAGAAATAAAGAAAAAGCCATATAATGGTAATGAAACCTCTGTCCTTCTATGGGGCACATCATGGATGCGGAGCAACCAGGAGCAAGACAGAGCACTCCGTGAGCCAGTTCACACAGGAGCAGCTTGGACGGGGTGTAGCTAGGGTAATTCCTGTACCAAGGGCCAGGTGCACTCCGGGAGGAGGGGTCAGGGCACCAGGCCCACTGCAGACCCTCTATATTCATTTCCCAGGGCTGCAAGCACAAAGTACCACAAATAGGGTGGCTTCTGACAACAGAAGTTTATTGTCTCATAGTTCTGGAGGCTAGAAGTCCAACATCAAGGTGTCAGCAGGGCCGTGCTCCCTCTAAAACCTGTAGGGGAGAATCCTTCCTTGCTTCTTTCTAGCTTCTGGGGGTTGCTCACACTCCTTGGCACTCCTTAGGTTATAGATGCATCACTCCAATCCACCATCTTCACGTGGTGTTATCCCTGTGTCTCTGTCTTCACATGGATGCTTCTTACAAGGACACCAGTCATACTGGACGAGTTGCCTATCCTTCTCCAGCATGACCTCATCTTAACTAACTGCATCTGAAATGACCCTTTTTCCAAATAAGGTCACAAACCTCAGGTACTGGGATTTAGGACTTCAACATGTCTTTTTTGAGGGCCACAATTCAACCTAGAACACTCTTCCTGAAATGCCCAGTCCTCACCCTCAACCAGAAGGACTCTGATGCTCTAGAGCTATTTAGAATACCTGGATGTTAATTCAAATTAAAGAGAAACAGAAAAAAAATTACCATATGACGGTGACAGTCAGAACAGTGGTTACGTGTAAGGAGGGAAGTGGTGACAGGGGGAGCCCACGGGGCACTCCTGGAGGCCAGGCAATGCGCTAGCTCTTCGGCAGGTTACGTGGGTGGGCTCACTGGGAAGAAATGTAGCAATCTACACTTGTATGGTTTTGTACTCCTCTGCATGTCCAATATATTTCCATGGAAACTTAAAAAAAAAACTAGAGAAATTGGAGCTGTCCAAGAAATAGAGGTCTGAGCAACCTAAGGAGAACCTCAGAGAGGGGCACTGTCTGGGAGAAGCCACAACCCAAGCATGAGCCGCTTGAGTGGCCAGTTTACCTGAGATGTTCAACTCCTAGGAGCAGGTATGTAACAAGAAATGCTCAAGTAATTTACTTAAGATGAGAAAAATGTGAAGGCCAAGGAATACATATATTTGAACTGGCAGATTGGCAACTTCTATATATGGGTGATAATTAAAAATTATGTTTGATAAGCAGAGACCCATTGTAAGTCATAAGGATACATTCTCCCCTCAACAGTGCTGGAAAAATGCTAGGGCACTTTGTGTTTGGCCCTCTGTTTTCCTACCCTCCTTGCAGACCTCTCCCACACATTCCATTTTCAGGCTAATTACAGTTCAAGTAAGTTCCAGTGTTTTTTCTTCCACATCTCATTCTTCTCTGGGAATTTTAAACCCTTGTGGTTAGGGTGTTCTGGGTCCAATTGCTTAATCTCCAAGCAAGAGAAATCAACACCAAAGGACAGAGTTAAAATACTGGACACCACTCAGACTTAGCAGAAAACCTATTTTTGGAGTAAAAACATAGCATATAATTATAGAAAATGAAGCTATGAACAGAAGCACTTGGCTTTCTATTGTGTAAAATGTATTAAGGAGGTACCAAAAGTTTCAAGGCTATGAATTTGTAGGGATCCTGTTGACTGTTCTTCCTGGATGTCTCTGTCCCACTGAAGCCCATCCCTATTCTCAAATTGCAGATAGAATCCCATGATTCAGAAGTCTCGAATGACATTTAATATTTCTATGTTTGAAATACTTGGGTTATTAAAAATGAGAGCTCTAACATCAATCATACATCACCATTACTAATGTTTTCATCATTTTCTCATGAAAGCAGCAAATGGAAGAGATGTATTCCATGCCACATGTAAAATTCAAGTCCAATGTTAGAAGCCATGTGAAGAATTTGCCTATTATAAAGTGTCCATATAGACCTTCATTCCCCAAGTACATAACCCCTTAGGGAGATGTAACCATCATAGGCCATATGCCTCTGAGTCTGACTGAGCTGCCTATTATGTTCTCTCCCGTGGCATCTCCTAAAATACTTGACTCTGAACATTATAGTCTAAAAGCACTAACCTTTGCACAGTTCTTAGTCATTCTCAACACTGTTTCATGCTTCAGCACCTTTGACCATGCTGTTTGCACTTTCTGGAATGTTCTCCTCACCTTCCAGACCTTCCTCCCCCCCACCCCCCCAGCCCCGCCACAGCTCAGAATCATCTTCTGTATTCTGCTCTTCAAGGAGGACTTCACTTTCTACCTTCACTCTGCATTTGGATGAGGATAGAGGAGAGTCTAAGAAAGAAATAATATGTAAAGCTGTTTCAAGAATAAGGCCAACTATACTTTTTAAATCATCTTAAAAAAATTCAGGCTAAAAGATGTTAAGATTTTTAGTGGGCATCCGAATAGAGCAGTTTTTACTTCTTAACCCTAGTTTATTGTGAAAAACTCCTGGTGCTATTCAACCAACAGACTTTCATCCCCAATTCCACCCAAAGCCCATATGCCTGCACATCCATGCATGCGGGGGCACGTGCGTGTGCACACACACACACACATACTGCATTTCTCCATATGACCCAGATCCCTATATAATAAATAGCACAGCACCTGGCACATCACAGGTGCCCAAACATTTGTTCCTGTTCACCGAAGAATAAAGAAATACAACAACACGAGCACATTAATAAAGTCCAAAGTGAAGCCCGGTGCTAAGATGAAACAGACTTAAGGGAAAATTAGAGCTTCATGATGTCAAGCAGGAAGTTTTTCTGGAGAAAGTTAATTTTTAATGATTTGAGGGAGGACAGAGTTATAATAATAGCTATCATCATAGAGTTATAACAATAATAATGGCAAGTAATACAGATTAAATGATATTTGGCAGAAACTACACTGACCCATTTATATGTTTTCTTTTATTGCAATAATGTGATGTGGCCATTATGCTGAGTTTATAAATAAGGGAAGTGATGCTCAGAGTCATTCTCCTCATCTACAGACTTTTCCATTCCCAACCAGATAAAAGTAGGTCTAGGTTTAAAGAATCCTTCAAAGACCAGCATTACATGCTACTAAGCACACTGTGTCTTAGGTATAAGGGCAAAAAGAGAGAATGGGGAAGAGCATCTTTTTACCCAGCTTTTCAGTGTTTGTGATTAAAAAAAAAAAAAAAAAAAAAAATTCCCAAGGGCTGGGTGCTTTCCTTCCTCTCTTTCCCAGTGGCCCAAGAAAAGGAAAGCCCCTCCCTGGTCGATGCAGAAGGCTGACAGTAAATGGTAAGCTGGCCACCACCCCCACCCCCAGATGACAAAAAGTCTCCAAGAAGAGGAAATATGAGCATGGAACAGAGACTCAGGTCCTCCTGCTCCTTACTTTCTTTTACCCTCAAACTCATCCCCAGCATTTTACCCCTTCTTAGCCTGACTGTATCACAGCCAAGTTCCTGATCAAGTCTAAGACCCTACTGCTTATTCAGTGCTGGGAGTCACCATCAGGGGAAAGAACTCCTGCTACCTCACCAGATGAGGGAACAGTGCTTCTGACATCCTAATACAGAACCAGAAACACAGTTTCCTACTGACACGCTGTAGTGTCCAATGCATCCGTTGTATGCTATACATCAAGCTTGCTCCAAATCAAATAATTTTTTATGGAAGCATAATTAACATACAGTCTAATAACAAATATATTTTTATTTTTAACCCATAAAGGGTTCACCTGGAAATTCTGATCTGTGCTATTTTATCCAATGTAGTTAGAATAAACAGGAGAGGTTCATTTAAACTGTGAGCGTAGGGATGTACCCCTGGGAAGACTTCTTCCAGGCAAGAAGGTTGAATAGGAACTTCAGTAAAAATACATTCAGAATGAAAAGAATTTTTGGAACACAATCCCTTGGAGATAACATATCCTCCTGAATTTGGCCAGACACAGCACACCAAAATGGCACATCAAAGATACAGAGAAGACAGAAGATACCTAACTGATGAAAGTCGGAAGCTATCAGAAGGAAAGGCAAAGCATACAGACCCCCTGTTCAAGACGCCCAGACTGAGGGGCAATTAAGAAAGTATATTCAGATCAGAGGATATATAACTTGAGTGTATGCAAGACAAAGGTGAAGCATATGCACAAAGAATGGAAGAATCCTTGAGGAATGTGTGCTATGGAGGTTTCCTGGGATGGTGTAAGGCAGAGGTTAAGCAGACTTTCATGTGATCCATTCTAAGTCACTTACGCTGGGACAATCTTAGTTTTTTTTTAACTATAAAATGGAGCTAATTATTCCTGTCTCACACAGTTGGTGGGAAGATTTAATAAAATAACACATGTGAACACACTGGGGATCATAATGGGTGCCACAGGAGTTTTGTGTTTTCCTTACCGCCTTGATATGCATCACCTGGAATGTATATTAAATAGCTATCCGGCCCCCAACCCTGGATAGAAGCCAAGTGGTAATCTGCATGGCTAGCAGAGGATGTTTGTCAGAGACATATGGGAAATGTGGCATATTTCACCTCTCTCCTATAGTATTCCACATGATGTGGAACACAGAAGTATCTCCAACAGAAGACAACAGCTGGACAGACTTACGTTTGTTTGTTTTAACAGTATGTCTTTTAATGGTATTCTTCTGCCAATTACTATCTATTCCTTTCTGATCCTCAAAGATTTTTATGGATTTGGGGCATAAGAACAAATTGAGTATTTCCAACAAATCTACTGAAATGTGGTCTCATTTTACTGCATCTTTATAAGGAGACATACAATCTGGGACTGGGACATTCAGGGACTATGGTAAAAATATCGCTCCAGGAAAGAAGCCCCACTGAGCAAGGAATGAAGATCTCCTCCTCCACATGAACAATTAAGGAAGGCTCAGGAAGCCAGATCAGGGTAATACAATCAGTTTCTGAAAAAGTTTTCTCCTTATAAACCAAAGTTGCCATTATCTAAAGTGTCTCTGAGTCAGGGTGCCTGGGTGGTTCAGTTGCTTAGGCGTCCCACTCTTGATTTCAGCTCAGGTCATGATCTCAGGGTCCAGAGATGGAGCCTGGTGTTGGGCTCTGTGCTCAG